GTATCCCTGTCCCTGACTGTGGCCAGATAGCCCCCATCTTTCTTCTACTCGAGGCATCAAGCCAAGAGAACCGGCAAGCCACGAAGCTGGGCGCGAGCTGCTGACTGGTTCCCCGGAAGCCGCACGGCAGACCGGATCTGTCTTTGCAGGACTGTCGACCCCTCGAGTGGCTGGTTTGACAAAGAAAACCCGCAGTCGCACGGTCATATGGCCAACGGTTGAGGATGTCATGGGTACTTGTCCCGCACTGATACTGGGACGAGATACCTTACACAGTAATACGATGTGCCGTTGTTCATAGTCTGCATAACAGCTAAGGCGCAAGACTGGCATAGATGTGAGCTGTGTGAGACTGTGAGGAAGGGGTGGCCCAGTCCAGTCATCCAAGATTCCCAAGCAAAAGCCACGCTCAAATTAGATGCCGCTGAGCGATCCAGCTTCTTTGATGTAGGCCCAATGTCTGGGGCACATCTTGTGCCACATGAGATGCAGGCAAAAGGATCGATAGACCGATAAAGCCTTGACTGACCGCCGGTAATTGTTTGCGGCGGCATGCAACAAACCCTAAGGGTAAAATAAGCGTCTGAGATGTTGAAGAGGTTGTCACCGCCCCCCAAGTCGGAGTTGATGAGAGTCCGCCAACACCAAATGATGGCCTGTCTGGTATGTCTGGTAGGTCTGGCTCACCAGAAGACGCACGTCGTTGAAACAGACTTGCCTTTTCTCTCTTGGGCGTTCCTCTTTTCCCATTCTTTGCGGCGGGGGGACGGGCAAACGTCCGATGGACATGGTCCACAAATCATCCACTTTTTAACCTGGAAGTGCCAGGTACAAGTGGAAATCCTTCTTCTTACCCCCCTCTCCGACCTCTTGCATTCCTCTTTGCGGAAACACCTCGCCGCCTCGGACACCTCCTCCGCTCCGTCCAAGAGGTCCGCCCAACGCAGCCGTCGTTCCCTCGAATGAAGCCCCTGGTCTATCAAGGCTTGGGTCTCGAGTCACCAGCGCGAAGACTGTCACTAGAAACACCCAAGTAGCAACGGCCAACAACCAACGACAACTCGCAACCTTTGCCCTCTTTCAAGCTTCCCTTGGGTCGAGTCCTAGAGACGCGATCTTGGTACGGCTATCTGTGCTGTGTCGCTATGCCTCCCGTCCTTGGACCTCGTGTTGACATCTCTTCAAAAAGGCTGAGAAGACAACTAGTCTAGTCCAGGGCTAGCAGTGGACAGATCACGCTTGCAAGGTTGGCTTCTGGGGGGTTGTTTCCAACAACCATCCCTAACCTGGCACGTTCATAGGTGCGAGAACCCCGCGCCAACGGCTTCGAATCTTCGGATAAGTGATCAGGGGGAACAAAAGATGTCAAACGGCACTCGTTGGGTGATCGGAAAACGCCAAAAGAGCACAATTACGACGATATCCCAACCCAGGCGGGGGCTCGTGGGTGCCGAGATGATTCGCTCATAGTCGCTCATCCCCGACATGTGCCAATACAGTCGAGCAAAAGATGGTGTCGACTGGCTGCGCGGTTGACAGATTTGACAACCGTCCTGCCGGGCGAGCTAGCACGTCGTTTTTTCTCGCTAGTCCTTCCTCGTCCACAGTTGAGCACCTCCAACGGTCTATCCACTGTCATTGCAAAGACGGTTGCGAGACAGGCAACTATACCCTGGCTCTCGGGTTTGGTGGGGGCAGATCCCGCCTCAGGAGACACGCGTGCCTGTCCAGGACTCGACTTTTGTTCGTTGGTCCAACAATCCAGATGGGGCCCGCGGTACAGATACGGCGGCACAGATACCAACTCGCCAGGCCTCTTTGCGTTCGAACATGAGGGGGGTGCTTCCACAGGTCCTGGACTCCAGCTTGATTATCACACACCACCGTGGCTCGCCGAGGACTTATTTTACCAAGAGCCGCTCGTCACAAAATCGAGAGTTCGATGGCTGAATTTTGTGATAGATCCTGGATCTCTGATTATCGAGATGGCAGTTCTGACGAGTTCCCGGCCGTTTTTTCGCTCTCCTTGCCAAGTACGGACGTAAGTCCATGATAGTCTGTCACACAGCGCACGGCATTGATAGGTGATGATGAACTTTGGGGGGGAGCCAGCGCCCAGAAACCGTGTCTGCAATGTCGTCCACCGCCATTCGGCTCTCCCACACATGAGCACGGGATCCGTGCTGTGTGGACCGAGATTGACGTTAAGTCCTTGTTCCTTAAAACCCGATTCATCCTAGAAAGGTTGAGATCACTGGCTTCTGGGTCACGCAGATGAAGTTGGTAGATCCATAGATTTCGCCTCGAGAACCCACACAGGAGTAGCCTATATGCTGCTTCCCGGTTGACAGGCTTGAGTGCAACTTCAAAGGAACATGTATACATCGCATCTTATGCTTCATTGCGTTGCACAGCGGCGCGGGATCGACATCTCGAAGGAAAGCCGCAGGCCCCTCGGCCCATATCTACGGCTCCGGTCGAGTTTCCGTGCCGCGGGCGGCCCTCTCCTGGGATATGTGTTTGAATCTTCCCGTCTGATGCGAAGGCCACACTGGCGAGGATCATCAACCCGCAGCGTGCAGAGCAACTACTCGAACACACGGCGCCATCGGCTTACATTGTCGGGTATGCTTGAACAGCCTGCAGAAGTCCTTTGATGTCCGTCCGGACCGCGGTTAGTTGATGCAGCGTAATGCAGCAGTCCGTAAATCTGAAATCTTATTCTCGTCGAGAAAGAAGCATCCTCTCGATCAATCTTCAATCCCTCCCTCATAATTGTCGAGCGCACTCACGGCATGGAGACGCTGGTGGTGATGAATGACCGCACCGAGTTTCTCCTGTTCAATGTCATCTTCAAAGCCTTTTGGACGACTTTACGCCTCTCAAGTCGATTTGGGGACGTTTCATTTGATCTTTCGATGGCATTCTGTCGTATCCTCAGTTCGCCATTCTGATGGCACTCCGGTGATTGATGCCACCGAGGCGCTTTCTTTTCTCGAGCCAATATCCTGCGACAAGAATGATGCCCGTGTATCGATCTGCACCAATCATTCAGTGATTCACGTCGAATCTTCGCCATCGCGAAGCTGCAGACCAGCGCTGGCCGGTTGAGAACGGCCGTTTGAGTTTAATTCTGGCTGGCAAAGGCAATGTTCCTCAACCGATGGCTTTGCCTTCGGCCGTTAAGCTCAAATGCTAGGAAAGAAAAAATGGCACGCAGGTCGAAGACAAGTCGTTGAATTATAACGTCCGTAAAGAAAGCTCCGATAAGCCCTTGGGTTGTAGCAGAAGCTGACGTGTGGGCTCGCTAAAGCAGTCACCCACTCACGACGGCAGGTTTCCCGTCTTCTTACGTGCGATCTTACGGGCGAAAGAGCACAACTTTGTGCCCTGAGAAGTCCTGCCCGGTCGACGGGACGAGCCACCGGGGCATCGTTCCGATGCAGCATTGGTATGGTCGTGATGCATCTGCCCCGTTGAAACTTGAGGCGTTCAAGGGACAGTTGCTTCTGCGGAAATGCGGACGTAAACTGCCAAGCTTCATTGCAGAAATCTCGAAGCCTTATTGCTACATGTTACATCGCCAAACGTATGAGAAAGAAATCTGTACCGCAACGCTGCAAGGTCGCATCGCGGGCCGCGGCCTCGGGCAGCTGGTCGGAACCCAGATCATGCACCGTCCCTTGACCGGTGTCGTCTCTGAGCAATGCATCAAAGCGAATGGCTTCCTTTGGCATGATATCGTATACAAGGTTTTACGTCTCGTTGAATACATGCTTCATAGCCGCAGGCGTGTCACTGTAGCCGACAGACGGAATAGACGAGCGCTTCTCTGTACTTCGTCTTACAACGAATATTACTTTCCGCTTATGGGCCGCGCCGTTAAGACGCGCGAGAGATTTCCCGAGAATGGGCGCGGTTTGCCAAATTGAGGAACTAGTGTTGCACAGTCCAACGTCTAACAAGGCGGAGACCTTCCGTTGAGTTGTATCGAACTTGAAGGGCGGTACGCCGGTTGAAAGTGTTTATGAGTGCCACGTGGGGGAAAGGTATCTTGAGATGTGTCTCGGTATTACTTTGCGCTTCTCAAGAACAAGACGAGCCTTCTGGATCGACTGCCGATGTGTGACCTGGTGCCACCTTGCCATCGGGAGATGTCATAAATAGAACGGCATGTCCATGCTGAAGTGGAACGATGTCCACGAGCAATATTCATCTTCTAGACGGTCTTGCGTTGAAAAGGCTGCAACGTTTCATCCTCTCATTCCATTTGTTGTTGAAATACGTTACGTGCCGTTGGCTGGGTATCGCAATGGGACATAAAGTCTCGAGATTGAGAAATGATAGTTGTTCCTGATCTGTCACTGGGCTTCTAGAAATAATGTACGTGATCCGCGGCACGGCCAGACGCGTTTCTGCTGTTGTACAAGCTCGGCCTGTCTCGCTTCAGCTCCAGGTATAACCTCGGAGGAAGAGGCAGTTGCGAACTTCTCAAGGAAACCACACGGAGGTATGCAAGATTCTGCTGCTCAACGTCGGGGCTCCGGAAACGAACATCCTATGTCGGACAAACGAGCTAACGACGTGTAAATCTTTTCGGTCCTTTATCAAGCGTCCTTGCATGGCTCGTGTGGAGTAATTTGCACCACGTCCTGAAGGCTGTCGGAATTGAGAGAAGAATGAAGTAGTTCGAAACCAGAATCCGAGCCAGAGGGTGTCTCATGTGTAAGGCAATCCGCATCGAATACATTCCCGAACACTTCGTCCACCTTGATTCCCGGTCCGACGGCATGTCTATATCTATTTCGAGAATAGCCTTGTTACGCTGATGTCTTCTTCTCCTAAGTAGGCTACCAGTCGGGTATTGTCCGTCTAAAGATAGCAGCCGGCATCGCTTTCGATATCACCTCATTGCAGTACTGCCAATTGGCCGGAAAGATGTTCAGTGATGAGGTAGCTTCGAGTGGCATAGAGATGTAAGACTTGAGACTAGGGTCGATCTAGAACTTCCGCTTCTTCCGTGCTGGTCCCGACGTGGCCTTTTTCTGTATCTCTTGTTGTAGTTCATCTCGTTTCCGATCTGCCCGTTCCTGTGACGTCTCCCTGGGCTTCACCGAAGGCTCCTCGTCCGCTCCAGACCTTCCCCTGATTTCCGCATCTTCGGTCTTCGGCTCTGGCGTCTTCGATGGGCGCGCGCCTCTGCCTATCCTGCCCAAAACAGGCTTCTTAGATGGCTCTGGCGATTTAGAAGGTTGACGGTCGCCACCAATGCGGCCTAAAGCCCCCTTCTTCGGAGATTCTGGAGTCTTTGAGCGACTGGCACGACCATCGCCGATACGACACAAGCCCCCATTGAAGTTACTCGCGGCAGGCTTCGGTGGTGGCGAGATCTCAACTACCGATAATGCACTTTCGTCTTCAGATGCCGTTTCAGTATCCGAGCCTGGAGCAGCTGGCACAGGATCTTTCAGACCTGAAGACCTCGTTGCTGTTGCAGGTTGGCCTTTCTTTCCTATCGTACCCAGGCGGCTAGATTGAATGATAGGTTCATCAGGAGGTACAGGTACGCTGTCTGGAATGTGGGATTCGTCTTCGTCCTCAGTGCTATCGTCGTCGCGTCCGGAGGGCGGCGGGACGGAACGTTTCCGGGCGGGCACAAGATGGGGAGGCGTCGACTGCACTTGAAAATCATCATCCTCATCCTCTCCCGCAATCCCCTTGTTTGCCCGCTCGCTGTGACCATGCCCCTCTCGTTCGGATTCGGGAGGCGACATTGCCGGCCGGCTTGAACGGGACCTCGACTTGGGTCCCACAATCGGGATACATAACGCCTCTGGCCTGGCCCACCAGTCGTCAAGAGGAGTTGCGGTGTCCATGTCAGCCTTGCGACTATACTCGAGTCCATCGCCGCCAAAGACACTCTCAATAGCACCGAGAACGTCCTCCGGGCCGTGGTCTGACTGCGCCTTCCAATCCTCGAGAGAAAAGGGAGCCAAACCCTTGACTTTTTCCTCTGCCATCTTTCTCGTGGCCTTCTGTTTTGCTGACAAGACGGCGAAAACGTTCTCAAGGCGAGTCCCAGTAGCTTCTAATTTGTCCAGAAGCTTCATGATAACGGCATCCTTCTGCTTGATGGTTTCTGTAAGGGACTCCACTCGCCGGCGGCTCACAGAGTTTGCTTGTGCGAGGGGTACGACAAGTTCTGTCGTGAGTTCTGACTGGGAACACTTTTGCAGATACATCGGCCATTCTAGAGGTTGCATGTTATCTAGTTCGCAAGTAATACTCAATGTCAGACCCTGCTCCCCAGCTTCCTTGTTAGAGTGTGTTGATATCGACATGGATGCTTTTACATGGTCTCGGTGGCTTGGATCAAAGACAGATTGAATCTTGGACATGAAAGCTCGCATATTGCTGTCGCTGTCCGTCGGGTCGATACTGGTGGACTCATTGAGGCTGCGCTTGTAGATTGCACGCCGATCCAACGATTCAGACCATATGTTGGCCAGGTCTGTAACAAAGATTGTGTATGATGTAGTCGTGAATGTTGTCGATACCAAAAGGTTGGGCAGATCGGCTGAAGCAGGCACAGGCAGCCGTCGCCAGACGGGCGGTGTTGTCATGGCTGCGCAAGTCCCGTATACTCGACAACTAAGAACAAATTTCCGTGGTCTATCAGATGGGAGAATACGCAGCTAGCCGCGTGAGAACTCGCAGCGGCGTTATCTCGCAGCTGGAGGGCCGTTGCATCGACGGCACGTCAAGAACCGATTCAGACGAAGCCTTGCAGCAGGTAATTGGGTTCGAGCAGAACGACTTCCGGTGCGACGTTACTGGTGAGTACGTCGGCCCTATTCTTTCGACAGAGTCTTGATGAAACGTTTTGACGCAGCTCTCAATGAATGAGTTGGAATGAAGTGGACCAAGAACACGGCGGTTGTGCTAGTCGCAGCATCTATGAGTTGCTTCGGATGCGCGTAGAAGGATAGTGGCCGGTCAATTTTGGGGGCGTCTGATGCGGAAAGGATGTGGTGATCTTGCAGTGACACGTATGACAAGAATCATTAGCCCCGCGGAACGGAAAGGATGGCGGGGATGATGAGGGTGATGGAATTCGTTGGGTTCAAAGGAGTAGGTTGGAGAGCAAGACGTGGAGGTGGAAGGTATCACCAAAGACTTGGCGCGCTGCGGTGCATCAATCAGGCAGCCACGTACAGTGAGAAGCAAAAATTGGAGACTGTGGCTTCCGGTTGTCAAGCCACAATGAAAGTGGGAGGGGAAAGAAATGTGGGGATGATTGACAGACTATCTGCACTGTGCATGGAAACACAGGGTGAGGGGGTCGTCCAATTTACAGAACCCCGATGAGAACGTGCGTGAGAGTGAGCATGAGGGCAGCATGAAGAAACGGGTGCCAACATTCATAAGTCTCATATACTTGGGGCAAGTGAGGCTGTCGAGAATAGTGTACCACAACATTGGGTGGGTGCCACGACATTGACAGACAAAGTCTTGCGTACTTGTCCATGAATGTCAGTCGAACGGGGATGTGAACGTATCTTACTTTCCATGAAAACGAAGATTTTCAATCATTACCCCTTATTCGAAGCCTTTTGCTCACGCCATGTCAGAGTAAACAAGCTGCAACCGACTGAATTTGACGTGTCTCAGAAGCAACGTTGGTCCAAGTCGGGATGACTGAGAGCTGGGAGAACTTGAGGCTGAAGTAGGATAAGGTTTGGACGAACATCCAGCAGGGGCATCCTAACATTGGCAGTACCATACTACTGTACGTTCACGTCAAGAATGGTTGATCTAGGAATATCTCAGTCAGGCTTCGGTACGATGTGTACTCTTTTCCAGCCGTACGCTTTTCCATCAACTATCTTACTTCTCTTACTCATCTCACCCGTTGTCTTCAAAGTTCAGTGCCTTACTCAGCTCAATGGGATTCATGAGGGCACGTGCCTCAAACCTTATGTAAGTCATGAAGATGAACGCCAGGTACGTACCCAATCTACCTTGGGTCGGTGGTCGGATATTTTGAACGTTTCCCAGTGTGCCGGTCCTCTACGCAGTAGGTGCTATTATTTCTTGTTCATACTTACCTTGATTAGGTCCCTTCAATGGAGTCAAGTCAAGCGCCTTTGCAACGTCAAGAGTCCAGAACTCCAGCTTGTATAAGATAATCGCCAGCCACTGACCGCTTCAAGATCAACAAGCAGCGTGGAAAAGTGAGACAGACCGTTGTAATGCTACCGTCAACGTGGAGCTGGGCCGCTCCAGACTCCCTGAAAAAGACGGGAGAAAGCCGTCACTCATCATCATCCGAAGTCCTTCATTGGCGTAGCTGTGCACCGCCATAGCGCCCCCATATTTCCCACCTTGACTTCGCGTGGCGCCGAATGCGCCACTCGTTTTTCCTCCAGTCCACCAAACATCCACGCTCCAGCATCATTGCATGAGAAACCCCCCGTCTATGGCCAAGATCCCATGCGAGCCTGTTAACTTGGTTGGACTTCTTTCGGTGCTACGCCACCCCCGCTGAACAAGCTTGATTCAGGATTCCTGCGAGCCTGTCGCCAGGCGCTGACTGGTCCGTCAAGGGCACATCACCAGTGCCATGCTTGCCAGGCACGAAAAGCAGGGACAGGGACATGGCGGATGACGTTCCCAAGTGAGGGGAGCCTTCATCAATTTCTCGCACCGCACCATATGGCATTCACGGCAACAAAGTAGGATACCGGTGGCAATCTTCCACGCCGCTGGCAACCCACCATTGGCCATCTTTTCTGTGGTCCGCTGCCAGCCACATCTCAGCCATGCCTACAGTACGCTGGTGTTGCGTCTGAATTATAGGACAGACCTGGCAAGCCTGGCTCTCCAAGGCGAGGGGATGACGGCGGCGGAAGGCGAAAGTGGCAGGCGTCAACGTGTACTACCTTACCTTGCAATGGGATGATCAGCCAGGAACGCTATCCGTGGCCCGTCGCTGCTACCTAAACACGCCAAACATCAAGGATCTTGGTTATGGATCGGCCTATCCCACCGCAAGAAGTTGGACATCACCTGCTTCTCTCCCCCATAATTCGTTGTTGGGGCCTCCAGAGTACCGGGAAGGATTGCGACGCCAGAGGGGATCCCCTGCCATGTATAGACTGAGTACGGAGTATACCCACGACCTTTAACAACCCAATACCGTCCGCCCTTCAGTTCTGCGCATTTCGTCTCATGCTCTATTGCCCTCGATAAATCCCCTTCGTGGCACTAATCATGGGACAGAAGCCTAGCAGCCCGTTGGCGACTTGTCTCGACAACGTCTGCAATGGCCGCTCCTCTTGTGTTGGATATCCAAACGACCCTCTCTTCCAGCTCAACTGGGTGAAGCCGTACAATCTCGATATCCCGGTGGAGCCCATCGCTGTCACAAAACCGTCAACAACGGAAGATGTCGCCGGTTTCGTCAAATGCGCTGGGGACAACAATGTCAAGGTGCAAGCCAAATCGGGAGGCCACTCATATGCGTAGGTTTCTCGACATGTCATCGTTATCTAGTCCACTGCTAACATGCTCATCTCTCCTCAGCAACTTTGGCATTGGTGGCACCGACGGCGCTCTCGTCATTGACTTGGCAAACTTTCAAAACTTCTCCATGGACACGAACACTTGGCAGGCAACTATCGGCGGAGGTCACAAGCTGCACGACGTGACGGAAAAGTTGCACGACAATGGTAAGAGAGCCATGGCTCACGGCACGTGTCCCGGTGTAGGCATCGGAGGCCATGCCACAATTGTTAGTCCCCCGCAGTCGGCGATATATCAAGCCTTCGTGCGCCCTGCTAATGCACGTCACATTTAGGGCGGTCTCGGCCCCAGCTCAAGAATGTGGGGAAGTTGTCTTGATCACGTCGTCGAAGTTGAGGTAGTCACCGCAGACGGCAAGATCCAGCGAGCAAGCGAGAGCCAGAACTCGGACCTCTTCTTTGCTCTCAAGGGCGCCGGCGCCGGCTTCGGCGTCATCACCGAATTTGTTATGCGGACCCACCCGGAGCCCGGCGATGTTGTACAATACTCGTACGCCATCACTTTCGCCAAGCACCGCGATCTTGCACCTGTCTTCAAGCAATGGCAAGATCTCATTTCTGATCCAGAGCTGGACCGTCGGTTCAGCAGCGAGTTTGTGATGCAGGAGCTCGGCGTCGCCATCACGGCTACATTTTACGGTACAGAAGATGAGTTCAAGAAGACGGGCATCCCAGACCGCATCCCCGAGGGCAAGGTGTCCGTGGTGGTAAATGACTGGCTCGGCGACGTTGCTCAAAAGGCACAAGATGCGGCGCTCTGGCTGAGTGACATCCAGTCACCCTTCACCTCCAAAAGTCTCGCCTTTACACGCAACGACCTCCTCAGCGAAGATGGCATTCAAGGAATGATGGACTATGTGGATGGTGCCGACCGCGGTACCCTGATTTGGTTCCTCATCTTTGACGTTACCGGCGGCGCAATCAACGACGTGCCCATGAACGCTACCGCCTACCGTCACCGCGACAAGGTCATGTTCTTCCAGGGCTACGGTGTCGGCATCCCGACCTTGAGCAGCAAGACCAAGGATTTCATGTCCGGAGTCGCCGACAAGATCCGGAAAGCGAGTCCGAACGAGCTGAGCACGTATGCTGGTTATGTCGACCCGACACTCGACAACGCGCAAGAGAGGTATTGGGGAACCAACCTCCCAACGCTGGAGCGCATCAAAGCGACGTGGGATCCCAAGGATCTGTTCTCGAATCCCCAGAGCGTGCGACCCAACGCGAGCGCTCAGATTGTCGCGCCTACGACTAGTGGTGGTTCGAATGGCTCGAATAATAGCGATTCGACAGGCGGTGGGAGCTAGGAAGGGGCCGGGAGCACCCGGCATCTACCTGGTCTTATGGGACTCGTGTTCACAACGGTTATGGTTTTGGCATTCTCTATACTCATGGCATGAGGCACTGGCTCGGTAGATCATGAGGCAGTGGGCTGTTTACTTCAAAGATACCCGGTATCAATTCAAGCATATTCTATTGGATTCATCATTTGGCCACGTTTGTGGTTACGCAAGTGCCGTGAAAACTCAAGGAAGCCTGCTAGGCATTCAAATAATAATGTGCACCTTTGGAGTCGTACGCTTCGAAGATGACCGACCTGGGCAACGGCAGGACACATAGGCACCCGCGATGCGATCCTGGTCCGTCCTTTGTGGGGGCCGTAATTTCGCCCTCTCATCGGCCAACACTCATCATCAACCACCACCAACGCCAGCATCATTTAGACTCAACAATCCTTCGTCTCGCCTGACGGGAGCTCGTTCCTCATCAAGCCTTTGATCTGATCGATGTATTCGAAGCAATTGATGTGTCGCCTCGAAACTTCCCTGTTCATCAGTACCAGCATCTTCACCCTTCACCACCTCACAACCTCACCCCAACCGACCAAAAGATGCCTTCCGTCATCAACGGCAACCTCTCCCGCCGCCCTTACACCGTCCTTGAATCCGCAACCCGAGTATCCCACATCCTCCACCACCCCTCCCTCCTCACGCCGCGCGAGGTCGTGTTGGGAATCTACCTCGTCTACATAACCTACTGCACCGTCCTCACGCTCCGCAGCATCGGTTACCTCGTCTTCGAGGCCGGCGGGCGGGACATGTGGTGCCCGGAGGACCCGCCTGTGCCGGAGTGGTATCCGCCCGGGTGGAAGGTGGAGCTGAGTCGGTGGGATTGCTTCCGGATGTTGAGGTGGATGGTGCTGAGGAGGTTTGGGGCTTTGGGGTATGAGGTTTTTGCGTGGGGTGTAATGGGGGTGCTGGGTGCGGTTTTGGTAGAGGAGGGGGTTAGATGGGTTAGAGGATGAGTGAGAGGGATGGTGACGGTTGCTTGGGTGATGGTTTGAATTGGGGTCGTTGGGCGCGATGTTGGTATGGGTTAGACTGCGACTTTGAAGTCAAGAGCCTTCGGAGATGACTTAGATAGTCTTAGCTACGCTGAGAATCATGGTCTCGAGACTTGGAAATCAAGATACGATCAAGTCCCAGGCAGCTACGCGTCATATTTGATCATGTCCGGCTTTGTTCAACGACTGTGTTATCTTCTAGTCCGCTTTAGCAAACTTTCAGAATTAGCAACCATATTTCAGACTTGCGTCATGATCTACTTCTACCATGGCTCCTTGTGAAATAATCACGAAACCCACTTGGAATCAGTTGAAAATCAGTCGCCTCCAAGATCTTATCAAGGTGTGAGAATACAGCCCTGCCTCTCACATCGTGACCTCTCACATCTCTGGGCGGTTATCTCACCCAGAATTATCCTCACTTGAGCCTACAAGCTGGCACCGGAATGATGTGGTTCTTCAGTTGCATCGCCAGAATCTTCTTATTCACCCATTTGCCGTAGACTACGATCATCAACGGGGTGATGGAGGGGCTCGGAGTGTTCTATGCCGGGATGATGAAGATGATGGAGATGATGGGCCTTAGCTGATGGGCCTTGCCCCAAGGATGTCCGGATGGGGACTTTGGAGGTGGAAGTGGACAACGGATCTTTCTCAGATGGCCTAATACGAAAGAGACGTCTGCGCGATGATGATATCATTGATGGACGGTCTATGAGCTTTATGTGAGCTAGGATTCAATGGTGAGCATCTTGCACCAGATGCTCGATGATATGAATCTCGGCGAATCGATGAGAGAACAGATGTAACATTGTTCTTACTACGAAGTATAACAACGGAATGGGGAAGGGCTTTCAATATGGTATTGGAGCGACGATGAAAGTCTTATCATGAGACAAATGCAGGTATGTTTACGAAGCAGCAATTCCCATGAGCGTAATGCAAGGCGTCGTGTAAGGAAGCTCAAAACTCGAAGTCATCAAGAAGACTGCGTCATTTGCGTGGCTTCTATTTCAAGCAACAATCGCTTCCCTCATCGTCGAACATACCGTACCTCCTTAAGGTCTTCTAAGTCAAGTTCAATCTCGACCCACTCACGAGCGATGGATTCGGGAGTTCTTGATGTGCTTCGCTGTTATCCCACGCAAAGGCGTGGACCTGAAGGCTGAAGTATCCACTTCTAGCATCCCAGCCAATCGTAATGGGCCTAGTCAGGCTTGCCCGTGTGTAAGTTAAGCACGCAGCAAATTAAATGACTTATAAGTCTATCTTCCCGTAGCTGATTGAGAGTGAAAACGGATATCGCGCAGCGCCGTCTTCCCTGCTACTTTTATTCCTCTCAAGATGATCAAGTGGGGGTGGCTCGGTAAGAGTCGGTGAGAATAGCTGATCTGGACTAATTAGTTATATTCGCCGGTGAACGATTACATGACTGTATGCCCGTTCACTTCAATCTACAGTCTATGAGAAGCGAAGAAAGACCCAACATCCTTCTCTGCGGTTGTATCTTCCCCCAAGGCAGTGATGAGGGGCGGGCCCTGGGAGAGAGTGAGGTGGGGCAAGACTTACAGCGGGGTCTTTGTGCATCCAAAAAACAGAGGAAAAGGTTTTCGGGGTGGCTTATCTAATCTCCACGTGACTGGAAATTCTGGCTCGGGTAAGGGAGGAGCGTAGGGTTCGGTGCTCCACACCAGCGATTCACCAAAAACATTTTCGAAGTCGTGAAATTTCCAGCCTAGTTCACGATTCCACGTCCGCCATCTAACCCTCCAGCCAGCCCCGTAGTTGATTCCGACACCCCCAAACCGACACAATGGCCAAGCTCTCGTAAGTCATTGTCATTCTATTCTTCGAATCCAGCGACGGCGCAAAATTTCCGGCTTCTTTTCACCCCTCCTCCAGCGACGACGGGGGTTTTGGTGGGATGCACGCGGCATGAAGCGGGCGGGCGTTCGAAATTTCGACACAAAACAACACTACGACCGACGCAGGGAAAGAGGAGGAAATCTTGAAGACAGCAAGGCAACGGCCGGAAGTGTTGGAGTGAGCTTGGACTTCGACACAAACACCGATTGACGGCATGCACGAATGGAAAACAAAAACACTGCGCGAAACGACACCCTTCGCCTGCCGCTAGCCCGCCACGAGAAACGAAATTTTGCGCCGACAATGGAGGAGACAAGAGCAGAGAAAATTCCGGCAAAGATCAAGACGCGGAAGTGCTGACCAGATTCTCACAGTCGCGGTGCCCCCGGTGGCAAGCTCAAGATGACCCTCGGTCTTCCCGTGTACGAACTCTCCTCTCTTCCCGAATGAGAGAAACCCTTCTCTCTGTGGTGGGAAACTCGTCGCTGACTCTGTTGCTTCAGTGGTGCCGTCATGAACTGCGCCGACAACTCTGGTGCCCGTAACCTTTACATCATCTCCGTCAAGGGTATCGGTGCCCGCCTCAACAGACTGCCCGCCGGTGGTGTCGGTGACATGGTCATGGCCACCGTCAAGAAGGGAAAGCCCGAACTCCGCAAGAAGGTCCACCCCGCCGTCATCGTTCGCCAGTCCAAGCCCTGGAAGCGTTTCGACGGTGTCTTCCTGTACTTCGAGGACAACGCCGGTGTCGTAAGTACTATCCGATATCTGGGAGACATGGGACGCGTCGGACGAGAGTTGGCCGTACGGCTTTCGCATAGCTAGGCTCCGAAGATGACGTCCCTTTTTGGAGATGGATATCACGAGCTGTCTGCTAACACACCTACTACAGATCGTCAACCCCAAGGGTGAGATGAAGGGCTCCGCCATTACCGGCCCCGTCGGTAAGGAGGCTGCTGAGCTCTGGCCCGTAAGTTTTCCCCACACAAACGATCTTGTGATACACGAGACTAACACCCAATCCAGCGTATTGCCAGCAACTCTGGTGTCGTCATGTAAAGGAGTTTTTTTTTTTACACAAGTCAAGAAATAAAAGGGCGAAAAGGACGACGTTATGGCTACGGATTAGGTCAACCGGTGCGAACCATTGGGACATACTTCATCACCCCTCCTCCTCTCTCTCCTTGACACCTCTCTCCCCCACCCTGTCGTCATGAAGTGAAAGAGAGCGAGGTCGAATGGATTCCATCATCACACACAAAATACCATCTGAAAGAGGGTTGTGGGCCTGGTTTTTTTCTTTTTAGTTTCCTCGCTGGACTGGCAGGTTCTGCATTTCGGCTGTGGCGTGTAAAGGGAAAGAAATTCATACCAGGCATTTCGCATACAGGAGAGATACAAAAATCCGATTCTTTGCGCACGTTACACATACTTGCCTCCTGCTTTCCCGTTTCGCTCCCCAGTTGGCGCCTTCGCTGCGTGTGTATAGGCCATGTCTTTGCTGCACTCCCAAGCAGACGAGCGTCGACGAACACCGACCAGGCAAATGCCCAGGATTCCAACCAGAAAGTTGGGTCTGTGTTAGTGATATCTGCGTGCGGTTTCCTCCCCGCCTTCTCACTTTCGCCCGCTTCTATTGGCGGCGACGGATAATGAATGCGGCTTCTGAGGCTCTGACTGTACAGCAATTTTAACCCCCTCGCAGGCTATGGCCTACGTTCACGATTTCCTCAATCAGCCCGAACCAGTCCAGCACCGCTGACCCAATTCCCATGTCCTCTACCTGCAGCAATTTGACTTCCCTTGTTGTGATACAAGCTCTGCGCCGTGAACATACTACTTTTTTCCGCGTGTCCGGTGGCGGCACTTCGGTTCCTCTGACTTGATATAGCTACGACTAGCTTATCCAAATCAGGGTCGCATTACGAATAGGTGGTTTCGAACTGCCTATAGTGTCGGCTACAAGACTTGGAGCCGACCTAGGCTAGACACTGCTCAGCATTGCGATGTTCGATAGCTGGTTGGAGAAGAGGAAAGACATTGCTCGAAGTGTAGCCAAACGCACCAGGGCGTATGTTTCGTCATCTCATATGAACATGGAGGTATCAAGGATCAGGAAGAAGACCTATTGAGGAGGCCTTTCTGCATCGTAGAGACTGTAGCATGACGAGACCACCCAACTTAACCATACTCCAGAAATCGACGTGAAATCTCGCCCGAGCATTGCAGTCTTTGAAGCCTGGTGAGCGGCCAAAATTGCAGTGTTGACAACAAGCCCTTTTCTCAAACCGTGTCACTCGCCGACACGCGCCATGATTGGTGTTGAGCCCCTCCTGAAGCCACCAGAATAGGGTGCCAGTTGAGCATCACCTCGCTCTGAGGCAGGATAAACCGATAGACGAGTCGATACCTTCAAGAAGCCACCCGTGCGATCAGAAAGGGATGTCCGCATGCGCCCGGGAAGAGAGGAAGTAATAGTATGGGTCATGGCCGTCACCATGTCCTCAGCACGCCACAACAGGTCCAGCCTGTCGTAATCCTGGCTGCCACCAATAATCGAATGAGAGAGAATTGTAGAGCTGCAGCTGCTGAATGACTTGACACCGAAGCCCTTTGAGTGAGGTAAAAACACAGTGAAAATGAAATACATTGGATAAGGTAGACTATGTACAAGGCATTGCATTGTGGTTTGGTTGTCATATCGCCACCCGGCGAGCACCCTCTCTAAGGTTGTTAATTTTGATGTCAGGAAGCACCTCGCAATATTACAAGTCCGCAACGAGATCAATTAGCCGTTTTCTGCGCCAAGAGAAATAGTAGCCGCTTGCTTATAATGCAAATCTCTGTATATTAGGATTGCCGAAGATGACCGACGAGATGACCTCTGGAAGATACTAGAGTCTCAGTGTACGCCCACAGGCTTAGATACATACAGCTGCGTTGGACGGGTTGCATAGTTGCATGGAATGCGAATGCAAGGCTGAGTTTTGTTGGACGGGAAGGAGATAGCTAAGGCTACATCTGATACAATGAAAGTAGTCGATAGAGGCAGCACGGCCTCGGGGCATGTAGAAATTGCAGTGAAGGCTGGTAATTCGCGATGAAAATGTTCGCATGTGCAGAGCAGAGGAGGGAACGGTTGTCAATTGCACCTACGGCGTAAGGCACCTACTTGTGAAGTTTCGATTTTTAGTGTCGGAAAACATGGCGATGGAGGCATTTTGGTCCCTAGGAGATGGAAAAATGCTCAAGATATGACAAGCGACACATCGAGCGAAATACTCACTGAGTTGTACTCCTGCATGGTCAGGATAGCTTCAACGATGAGGTAAACAAGCAACTTCAAGAATAGCAGAGACAGCTCTTCGTATCACATCAAGAACGTCGTATGTGTATGGCATCAACGTCAATTTCATTAGAGAGTATCGACTCCATCCGTCCACCGCCATCGTACCAGAAGACAAACCCTACTTATCCATCACCAACCCATGTCCTAGGGCGTCTCAACGAGATCCTTCAAGCAGGAAATCAGAGCCAAATGCCCTCATCCATGAACCGCCCAGATATGCGAAAGCTCTCTCTCCTTCCCCAAGGCTGAGGCCAGACAGTCCACGACTTGACTCTTCACTTCCATTGACGCGCCACCTCCGAAAGACCACTCACTTCAGCGAGCGGGTGCCAAATCGACGAAATCTCGTATTCGTCGCCTGAAATCAAGAAAAGTTTGGCGCAAATAAACAAGAGCCGAGAAAGAAAGATTCGATAAAAAGAAAAAAGTGACGAAGACGGCGGCACTGTAAATGTCCTCAGTCGATTATGGGAGCTGAGACCGGTGTACCGTTCTGTCAATCCATCAATGCAAAGATCCATACGCTCTCTCCTCTTTTTTGGTTTCCAACACTCGAATCGAAAATGGGAAAAAGTCGGATGCCCTCGCTTCCCGATGCTGATGTAAGAGAGATCATCTCCCAAGGTGCCTCTCCCGATATGTGTACTCGAACAAGAAAACTGAATTAGGTGTATATCGGCGTGCGGGGCTTTTGCGTATTCGTGTGCCCGAACCCGTCCACTGCCATCCGGATGCGACTTTCGTCATGCGAATGGGTATACAATGCTGATCGTAGAAGACTGGAAAATAGTTGCTCTGAGAAGCACATGATGCTGGTAATGATATTCGTGGGTCTCGTGACCTTTTGCGGTTGTGTTTTTTCAATGTGATCCGTATGGGTCATCATCCTGCTCTGCATGGTAGTTAAACGTGCCGTTCTTAACGGACGTGTGTAGTTGTGTCTGGATTCGTTACTGTCCCTGTCCCATGGGGAAAGGTGCCGGTTGTCCAGATTGCTGGAGTTGCATGGCCTTCTGCTGAGCGATTCGGGCCGCATCAGCTTCGGCCGCGGCAGCCGCTGCCTTTTTCGCAGCGAGAGTAGCCTTTCTTTTGTTTACAGCGCCCTGCATGCTGCCATTGAGCCATCGTTCTAGAGAAATTGTTAGTGGACTGTGACATCAGTGATGGGGTTGCGCAAAGCGTACTTTTCATCGAGGCCGACATCTTCTCCGACTTGGTCATGGTCGAGTAATCCTTCTCCTCCCCTTCAGCCTGGCTAGGCGGGGCCGATGACTTGGCCGAGGTAGGTGCAGACACTGGCGCTGGTCGAGGGGTCGACAGGTTGTACTCGCTGACGTCGGTCGATGTTTGGCGCGGCGAGGCTGGGGGTTTGATGCTCCATCTGGAACCATTGTTGATCAATTTGAATGACACCATCATCCGGGGCTGAGGGGACTCGGCTGCATCGAGAGTCGCGGCGAAACGGTGTATATCAGCGAGAATATGTTCGCCCAGCGTTTCTTTGGGTGCGAGCTCCGGTGCGCTTTGCTTTCTGTTGATGCGAATGATGCGAGCCTTCTTAGGCTGGGGCTCGGCCTCCACTTCTTCCTCGTCGACTTCCTCCTCGTCCTGCCAATTTCGCTGTCGCTTCTTCTGACGCAGTCCGTAGGTAGATCCGGCGTCCGAGATAGTGGCCATCGATGATGCCGAGGTAGGGCGAGATTCGTCGGTTGTTTCGGGTGCAACAACAGCAACATGGCCGTTGCTCTTTCGCTGCGCTGCGCGACCTCTCTTGGGGGTCGGCTTCTCGGGCTCCTCTGGCTCTTCCTCGACAATGGCGGCCGACTTTGGTTGTCTGCCACGCTTGCGCTTGGGAGGCTGTACCTGCTCTGGCTCCGGCGGCGGGGCGATGGCCTCTTCTTCGGGAGCAGGCGAATTCGGCTCCGAGACCACCACGGCAGACTTCCTACCCCTCGGCCCTCTCTTCTTGGGGCCGGGCTTGGCAGGCGAAACTGTTTGCGGCTCGGGCTCAGGCTCCTCTTCGGGATCTTGAGCTGAAGCCGCCTTTTCTGCGGCGGCGGCCCTACCGCGCTTCTTCGGGCCCGGCTTGTTGCTTCCCGGAGTTGCTGCACGGTGGTCGTCCTGTAACACGCCGTCAAACAACTTCGGGGGGTTGCGAGTCCTCTTGCCAGAGACGATGACTCCGTCGCCCTCGGCAGCCTTGGCGCTTGCTTGCGGCTGACTTCGGAGTTGGCGGACACCTTCGCCTCCACCACCCTTCTGAGCGCCGGGATCTTGGTTGCCCACTTTATTGGGGTGAGGATCGTACTCAAAGTGATACGTGGCGGCCATGATTCTGTCTTGCAAGCGTTGCTCGAGAATTCCGGCGTCTTTCTCCTTGATCGTGGCTCGGGAGCCCTGCACCTCAAACTCCTTTTCGATGTATGAGTCTACCTTGGCAAAGGCGTTCAAGTCGGCAGTCTTCTTTTCGTAGGCAGCATCCTGAATGGCGCGACGCTGGGCATTTTCTTGATCATCTACGACCCTGCTACACTCTTTGTACTCCTCTTGATAGGCAAGGAGGCACTCATTGGCCTGAGCCAGAAGGTCCCAGAGCTCCTCTTGGGGGAGGTCCTCGGAGTCCTTTAGGAAGGCTAGAAATTCGGCAGGATCCCTAAGCTTTTTGAACCTGTACTGTTTTCTGAAGCGTTGCTTCGGCATCAAAGCTGGTGTGCTGGTCCCAGTCGCGGCTGAGGGCACAACAGGCGACCCTTGGCGGGGCGTAAGTGCGGGAGTCGGGGCAGCCGAGTTGTAAGCGGACCCTTGGGAAAGTTGCTGGCCTTGGCTGTCGGGTGCGAGATCCTCATCGTGATCGGCGTCCCGCTCAGTGTCGTCAACTTCGCCGTCTGCATCGGCATTGGCACCGTCTTCTGCGTCTGCTTCAGCACCCTGGCCATGGGTGTTCGCATTGGCATTCTCGGGCGTCTCGTCAGCGATCTCTCGCTCGCCGGAAGTTTCAGCGGCGTCGGCATTTGAGGTGGGCGCAGATGCCTCGACAGCGACCGGGTAGATGGAGTGGGTGACATATTCGCCATCAACGTAAGGTGTCAGGTGGGACCACGGATAGCGCTTCTTTTTCGCCTCAGGAGCGGCGGGTTGGGGTTGCGGGGATGCTGCTTTGGGTTCGGGAACAGCAACGGGTTCAGGAGCAGCAACATCGTCCTGCATTTCTGCATCGGGTTCCTCTGCAACGTCAACGTCCATCTCGTCTTGAGGCCGGGACAAGTCCTCGGACTGAGTCGTGAATGACATAGAGACGTCGACATCTTGTGAAGGGGCGGTGGGCTGTGTATTTAACGGCTCCTCTTGAGGCGGAAGCTTATTTTCGGTCGCTTGGATATGACCATTTACCTTTGTGTCTTCTGTTGACACATCGGCGATAGACTCTCGTGGTTCTTCAGTCGGCTGTGCGACGTTGACATGGTCGATGTTGTTGGTGGCGTTGAAAATCTGAGCAACGGCTGGTGCGGAATTTTCCTGAGTACCGGAGACAACAGCAGAGTCGGCGTTGACTGCCGGCTCAGCCATCTCCGGCAGAGCCGTTCTCTGCGGTAAACTTTCAGTAGGCCGCACGGGAGAACTGGCCTCTCTCTTGGGCTGGATAGAATAATCTTCGACAAAGTCGCCATGATGAACTGTTGTCGCCCCGGTGTCTGGGTGCGGGCCAGTGTTTCCGATAATGGTGACTTGATTGACGCGGATGGGCTGGGGGTGAGCGATGATAGGGCCCGCTACCTCATCCGCGGCGGTAACAATGTCGCCGGGAACGGTTTGTGCTTGGCTCTGGCTCAATTGACTCTCATCCTGCTTGATGATCTGATGGCCAATGGGAGATGCCAGTTGAAGTATTACCTGAGTCTTGCGTTGGATGGGCGACGAGAGCTGGTCATGGTTTTCTGGAAGGGAGGCGTGACCGGAAATGTCCTTGTCATTGTCATCATGGTCAGATGCATCATCAGAGCTGATGAGGTCAGAAGAATCGCCCACCACTTCAATAGTATCCTTGACAATATCCTCGTCTGATTGCTGAGAGTAGAAGGATTGTTGTTCGACGACGTTCTTCCGGGCCGGAGTCCGACGACGAGCGGCGGTAATACTGGCGACGGAAAATTCTCTCGAGTTGGCGCGGCGCTTTTGTGCTGTGGGCGTGTAGTACTCCTCGTCGACAACTTCACTGTCAGCCCGCTTCTTACGGGTAGCAGTGCGAGGCGCCGGGATTGCAATCTCGGGCAGCTCATCCTCAAAGTCTGCGGCGGAGTAGTCGATTTTCGCACGCTTTCTCAAAGTGTGAGGGCCCTTGCGGTAGGTCTCGTCTTCTTCATCTGCGGGCCCGTCAAAGCCACTGGTGCGAGATCTCTTTCTAAGAGCCTTGCCAGGGCCAGGACCGGATCCGCCCGTACTGGGAGATGAGCGGACACTGAAGGGGTTATTCATGGGAATGGGCTTTGCGTTGCGGCGATTTTGAGGTGCCGTCTGAGGAGTGCGAGAGGCAGCAATGGGAGGAGAGCGCGTCATGATGCTCGAGTTTGACTCGCCGCCTGCGCTGGTATCAGACTGGATGCTGGAAGTGGGAAGAGTTTTCCGGCGATTCGGACGGCCACCGCGAGAGCGCTGGTCCATAGCTGTCAGAGCAGCGGTTGTGTGATGGTGCAGTCCAAGTAAGAACAGGTGAAGAGGTGACCTGGCTTACGGAGACGGATGTGTAGATGATTTGGGGGTAGAAGGGGAGCCGCAATAAGATGGCGGAGAAAGCCGAGAAGTCATTCAATGAGACGGGAGACGACTACTCTGAATATTGATGTGATGTGAATGAAGAGCTAATGAACCCTTGTCTCGTCGTAGATTTAACGGATGGCAGTAAGAGGCTGTCGGTAGGGGGAGGGAGGTTGAATGTGAAGGTGCTGGCGAAAAAAACCGGGTTTGATGCAAGTAAGTGGTGATGTGGTGGTTTGACTTGACTTGGACCACCCGACTGAGAGCTGAGAGTGAGAGCCAAAGGTTGTGTGAGTGGTGAGTGGTGAGTGTGAGTGAGCGAGACCGAAAGAGACCTGAGCTGAGAGAAACGGGCCTTGCTGTTGCCAATACCAAATAAGACGTCAAATTTGAGAGCAGACAGGACGGGTCTGCGCGATAGCTAGAGCAAACAAAAATACGCTCTGGAGAAAGCTAAAGAGCCAAAGAAAATAGCGACGATATTTTCAAGAGGGCAAAGAAGTCGTGAGGGTAAGATATCTGAGGTGGAAAAGGTGGTGATTTGTGCTGTTGGTGGCCCCTTCCTGTCTTGTTGCTGAGATGGCTCCTTCCCGTCTTCACTTTGACTTGCATTTCTCAATTTTGCCTTGCCAGCCGGGGCCCTGTCCACGTCTGCGTCCACACACGTCCACCTGTTGCTCTTGCTGGCCTGGCTCAGGCTGGCTGCCACTTCCTTCCGTTCCGTTACTGGCTGGCAGGGGCCGGGAGAGAGAAAGGGAAGGCACGACTGGGCCCCTTTGGAACGCTCCTGCACTGGCATTGGCTGTTAGTCCTTCCGAGCCAGCCACGCCTGGACCACAAGGCAATGGGAAGGAAGGAAGGAAGGAAGAAAAAACGGTACGTGGGTACAAGGGCCCAAGGGGGAAGGGACTCGGGAATGGGATACGTACTACGTACCTACCTCTGGCTGACTTTCACCCCAAGTTCCCGTCTCGTCAAGCATCCCAGGACCTATGATGGGAGCTGGAGGAAATCCCTTTAGTGGCCCGACCTCCCTACAGCTTGTCACTATGGGCGAATCTACAGCAGGCTCACCCCCATAGCCACTGATCAAGTCCCCTAAAAGCCCGCTGTAAGCCTTGACAGACCAAGAACGAGAGAACCCAGCCCGGCCAGATGGCGACTTCAGACGGGGACCCACAAGACACGCTTTTTTCATTTCCGACTGGGGATGGGCGTTCACTCAGGGCCAATGAGATGACACGCTTCTCGTCCACTCCGGATACGGACTAGCGCATCCCTTCTCTCCGCTTGATGCATGTCCCGTCCCTGGTGAATGTGATGCATGTCTCCAGCAGCTGTCGCCAATAGGTGTGGTGCTGTGCGGCGTGCCTGCGCTGGTGCATCAGACTCCCCCGTTTGGTTCACAGTCGGAGAACATGAGGTGAATGTTCAACTGCATCTTGGTCAACATCAATAACCGCCCGTCATCATTCGAGCAGTGAGCTGGTGTCTCTCCGTTACACCCACCAATATCGCCTTGATCGCTTCGGCCTGGCCCGTCGGACTTGGAACCCCACGCTATAATCATTGCTCCTTCCATTCGAGCTGTTGTTTCACGGTGTCCTGATACCTAGCGCCGCCTGACTAAGCTTGCCGAGCATCCCTTTTGGAGCTACCTAACCGCCCTCAAAGTGTTGCACCTTGTAGCTAGTGACGTCTGCCCCGCAACATCACCAACACCACAATCCTCCCATCGCCCAATATGGCTTCCAAGAAGACAAAGCCCGCCGCTGCTGGCGACGACATTGACGACCTCTTTGATGGAATTGGCGACAATGTTGCCCCCCCTAAGAAGTCGCTCGAGAAGAAGCCCAAGCCTACCACCGCCGCCTCCAAGGCTATGGCCGATAACGACATCCTGGCCGAGCTCGAAAAGGACCTCGAGCAACCCTCCCGTCCGCATACGCCGCGTCTTAAGGAGACGGCAGCGAAGGGAATCCCCAAACGCTCTGCGACCCCCACCACCGACGACAAGTCGACTGCCCCCCGCAAGTCTACCGACAGCGCACGATCTCTCCGCGCGAGCTTCACCCCCAGTGCCACAAGCTCCGACCTGCAAGAACCCGAGAAGAGGCCTGCCGAACAGCTTGCCACTGCCTCCTCATCAGCTGCTTCTCCCGAAGCCGCGCCCGCTGCGGCTGCTGGAGGTGGTTGGTGGGGTGGCATCTTCAACACGGCCACTGCCGCCATGAAGCAGGCCGAGGCTGCTGTGAAGGAGATTCAGAAGAACGAGGAAGCCAAGAAATGGGCCGAACAAGTTCGTGGAAACGTTGGTGGCCTCAGGGCCCTTGGTAAGTTCACAAGCTGGTTTTGCCATCTCCTAAACGCAACCCACGCGCGTTGGTATAGAGGGAACAAGTAGGTTTTAACACTACCTTTACAGGAGACAACCTTCGCCAGCAAGCTCTTCCGACATTCACGAATATCCTCCACACCATTGCCCCTCCCATCAGTTCTCACGAGAGACTCCTCATTCACATCGCCCACGATATGGTCGGGTACCCTTCCCTCGATCCATTGATCTACGGCACCTTCTCCCGCGTCATGTCCCAGGTGGAGGGCGGCGAGTTAATGGTCATTCAGCGAGGCCAAGAAACCCACAGCCGCAGATACTCCAATGACAGTGGCGCGGGCTGGAGAGACGGTCCTTGGTGGAGACAATCCGACTCCCCGCGTGACCTGGGTCTGATTAAGGGTCTGACCGAGGGCACCAAGCTCTGCCGTGCTGGAGCCGAGGGTTACGCCAGCGAGTACTTTGCAGCCCACGGCGGTGTCGAGCAGGCTCGGCTACGTGCGACTGAGCCGGTGAGCGAGGACAACCCGGTCCGCAGCTCCGACCTCTTCCTTGCCATCCAGGCTGTGGGTACCACGGCCGACTCGGGTCTCTTTGCCAGTACGTCGGCTGTGGAGAAGGAGAAGGAGACTTCGGCCGTGGCCGAACAGGATGAGGCAGATGAGATGGTTTGCTTCGCCGTCTTCTGCCTCGACCCCGTCCACGAGATTGAGTACTCGGCCATCAGCCAGTCCATCCCGGCCAAGTGGATCCGCTGGTTGGACGCCGCCAACCCGCTGACTCCTGCCAGCGGTGATGATGGCCAGGAGGGCTCTCTGGGTCAATCCATCCCGGATGAGATTCGTGAAATTGTCGAGGGCGGTGGTGTCGACCCCCGCGAGTGGGTCGCCGAGTGGATCGAAGAGCTGTTGAGTCTGGCTGTGGGTGTCGTGGCACAGAGGTATGTTGCCAGAAGAATGGGTGTTGGTGAGGGAGGCATTGGAAAGGGCAAGAGGCGCATGGACGAACTCGTTCAGGATGGTGGTGGCGAGGCTGCCCGGGCTGGTCTTATCTAAGCCAGCATCGGATAGCAGTGACTGTATGAATTTATCTAGGTGTTCGGATATACCGTTTTCTTTATCAACATTATTGAAGAATCATTATCATTATACAAATGGCACCACTAGTGTTCACGTTCTTGCCTCTTTGTGTGCCGAATGCTTCAATCGTACGCCAAATGTGTTCTTGGGTCACCAACAGTCTGACGTCAATATCTGCTTCAATGTGCCGTATGGTTGATGGTCATCGGATAAAACCATTGATGAGAAAGCCAATAGATACGTATGTTCATTTGCAACGCTGTAGCCTCATGAAGAACGTGCTAAGCTCAGACACCTAAGATATTCGCACTGTCGACACCGCGTTGACTCCCGACATTGTTGAAATGACTCCTATACAATACTTGGCAACCAGCATCATATACATTGGCCAATAGAATCTCATTTTGCATCAGTCAAAGTATTGAAGTCTATGGCTTTGAAGTTGGTCACCAAGACCGACTTACACGGGCGCGGAACGCACCCGGCACCAGCTGTCCTACGAGCCCGGCACCTCCCCCGAGTCCCCACATTGGATGGGTGCGTACTACATAATCTGAAGGCTGCAACGTAAGATTTGAGAAGAAAATTTCCTTCCCTCCGTATCCTTCACTTGATCAAACTCACCGGCCGAACACCACATTTTGCAAAGACAGGCAGCGCAACAAAAGCAAACGGCTCAAGTGAGTCAAACAGGGGTGCTCTCGAACTTCTACGAGAATGGGCATTATATTTTGCCTCCCTGTGCTCTGTTGCGGTGTCCATCGCGTCAAAGCATGAAAGTGGTGTGAAGCCAAACGAAACAGGAAGGATAGCTTTAATCATCCTTACCTACCTTACAGCAGCGTCTACCCAGTCACTTGGATTATTCACGAGTCTTCGCTTCGGCGAGGGTCTCCTTCTTGTGCCGCGTTTTGCGGTACACTCTGGAGAGGACTGGAAATACACTATTTATGAGCGGTGAAAATCGAGGGGTGAAGGGGCGTTTACGTCTTTTTCCCTCTCGATTTTTGCCGAGCTGCAAGAAAAACAGGACCATCATAGTCCATGCCCATCTTTTTTCCTACATGGGCGAGGCTCCAGGCGTACCGACAGATTTAATTGTGACTTTTTTGTTTTGCATGATTCGAATTGAGAGCATTGCCGGGTCAAAGTGCTACTTGCCATCCACGTCCATGTTGCCCAAATGACTTGGATGGCTCCAAAGTACTGAATGTCCCAGCAAAGTACCTGCACCACACCCTCAATCAAGCCTCTCAGTCAACAAGACGAGCTCATCAGTGCATTCCTAACGTTGGGAAGAATCATGGATTCGAGCAAAAAGGTCACATTCACACCGGCCGAGTCCCGGTCGTCTCCGGTGTTTTCCTCCACCCTTTCGGGCCACCGACATGCAATGGAAGTTGCACCTCCCCCACCTCACGCACTTACTCAAGTTGCTGTCACCATTCACCACAAAGAAAGGCCTGACGTCACTTGGCAGTCAGCGCTCACAAGCGGCAGGACGGCAACGCCATCAAGCCGCTCTTTCCTCTCCTCCTCTAAGATACCTCGATACCTCACGTTACCCCCCTTTTTCCCGAACGTGAGGTACGTAGCTGTTCTTTAGCGTTTCTGTGCCAAGGAAAATGTACATATTGAAATCCAAAGTGGACGGCGACGTCGACATCTTATCACGACTTCCCGTCTCTGCTGCTTGCATGTGCTTCTCATCAGACCATCTCGACTCCCATTCAAACACACTCATAAGCCTGACTGTGCAAAGCTTCAGGTCTGGGTTCTACGTATTTTTACCCTCACTCGAGTTCATCATCATTCGATGCCACCCAGAATCATCGTGAACCCTCTTCGGAATATCATCACCACCCGCCGCTCCCGTTTACCCCGTCTATCTTACACCATGGCTCCCACAAAGGACCGCAAGGAGTCCAAGTTCTCCCACCTGCCTCTGAGCACCAGCGGCCCCATCAGCTGCGCCGTCACGGGCAGCGCGCTGCTCAATACACCTTATCTCAACAAGGGAACAGCCTTCCCTGATGACGAGCGCCGCGAGTTCAACCTGACCGGTCTGCTTCCCCAGAGCATTCATTCCCTCGAACAGCAGCTGCACCGCGCCTATGAGCAGTACAAAAGCCGCCAAGATGACCTGGCCAAGAATACCTTTTTGACGTCGCTGAAAGAGCAGAATGAGGTCTTGTACTATCGGGTATGTATTTGAATGTTACCATGTGTTGAAGCATTAGTGACCTGAGACTGGTGCGTAGTTGCTGCAAGAGCATCTTCCGGAAATGTTCAGCATTGTGTACACGCCAACCGAGGGAGATGCGATTCAGAACTTTTCAAGACTGTTCAGAAGACCTGACGGCTGTTTTTTGAACATTAATGATGTAGATCGAGTCTATCACGACCTCGCCCAATGGGGGCGACCAGAGGATATCGACTACATTGTGGTTACCGGCATGTACCCCGTCCCCGCCTATGCCACCTTGTCTTCCGGATATGTTATGCCCGAATGATTCGCTGACTAGCTACACCAGATGGAGAAGAGATCCTGGGTATCGGAGACCAGGGTGTCGGTGGTGTTTTGATCTCCGTGGCGAAGCTCGTCCTCACAACCCTGTGCGCTGGTGTTCATCCCAATCGAACACTGCCTGTGGTGCTCGACTGCGGCACTGATAACGAGGAGCTCTTGAACGATGATCTGTATCTGGGACTCAGACAGAAGCGTGTGCGGGGACACAAGTATGATCGCTTCGTTGACGAGTTCGTCAAGGCTGCCAGGAGGCTGTATCCTCGCGCTTACATCCACTTCGAGGACTTTGGTCTCACCAATGGTAAGTATGGTGGTTCTGTTTGAATGGGGACCCCTGCTGATATGCGATGGATTACTAGCCAGAAGAATTTTGGATCAATATCGCCCCCATATCCCGTGCTTTAACGACGATGTGCAGGGAACGGGATGCGTCACTTTGGCGGCAATCACGGCTGCTCTACACGTCAGTAAGCAGAAGCTCACTGACCTGCGCCTGGTCATCTTTGGTGCTGGCTCAGCTGGTGTCGGAATTGCGGACCAGGTCAGAGACGCCATTGCCGCCGAAGGAAACATGAGTAAGGAGGATGCTTCCAAGCAGATCTGGTGCGTATATACCCGCAAACCTTACAAACTGCACCATTCCGGCTAATAGAGATACAGGTTGATCGACAAGCCCGGTCTTTTGACCACAGATAGCGAGGTATCCGCCGCCCAAAAGGGCTTCGCCAAGGACCCTTCAGACTGGAAGGACAAGGACGCGTCTCTCCTTTCGGTCATTCAGAGTGTCAAGCCCAATGTCCTCATCGGGACTTCGACCAAGCCCAAGGCTTTTACGGAAGAAATCGTCCGCGCCATGGCAGACGGCGTTGAGCGGCCCATCATCCTCCCTCTCTCCAACCCAACTCGTCTCCATGAGGCCGTTCCGGAGGACATCTACAAATGGACTGACGGCAAGGCTCTCGTCGCGACAGGTTCCCCTTTCAAACCGGTCAAGGGCCCCTGGGGCGAAGGCGGGAAAGAGATTGAGATTGAAGTCGCGGAGTGCAACAACTCTGTCGTCTTCCCAGGTATCGGCCTCGGCTCCGTGCTCTGCCGGGCGAGCCTGGTGACGGACAAGATGCTCGTTGCGGCTGTGGAGGGCGTCGCGTCGCTCAGCCCCGCGCTCAAAGACCAGACGGCGCCGTTGCTGCCGGGTGTAGATGTCGTCCGGGACGTGAGTGTGAGAGTCGCGCGGGCGGTGATCAAGGCGGCCGTCAAGGAGGGTGTGGCGACGGAGGAGGGGATCCCGGAGGGGGACGAGGACTTGGACGAGTGGATCCGGGAGCAGATGTGGTCGCCCGAGTATCGCCCGCTCAAGCTTGTTGAATACAGTGAGGCGAGTCGGGAGGCTAAGGGTGAGATGAAGGTTGCTGGGAGCTTTAGCAGAGTCGGGAGCTGGTAGATACCGTCATTCAGTTCACACGTGAGTGTCCGAAGACGGCAAAAGGCAAAAGTACATGCAACACCGGGCATTCGCCGGTCGTCTCCGACCCGACTACTACTCCGGCCCTCACTGGTTTATCGATGGGAGAGCGGACGGGATCCCGAGTTCTCCAGTGGGTGTGGTCGCATGTGTTATCTTGCCGGAGTGGTGATGCTGAAGTTGGGTGGAGGTTGGTGGTGAGGCTCTGGAGAAGGGCCTCAGGCCTCATTGGGGTCATTTGAGGAACGGACGCAGAACAACTATTTTTTAATACTGATTTAGATACTAGATAATTGCCTGAACAGATTCGTGTAGAAAACCGCGCGGAATTATGTTGTGGTGTTGTTTGGTGAATTAACTTGGTCTTTAATTCTTGCTTTTCAAATGCGTACAAAGTAGCGATAATTGCGTTCATTCTTAGGACTCAACATAACGGTATACGATGTTTCTGGTCCGGCATGGAGAAAAAAAGCACTCGACTGAGACAATCATCTAGTCATGCTTTAGTCTGGACTCTGGTGATATCTGATAAGCTCCATCGCTGGGACTTTCCGTTAAAATTCACATTCAATAATAGCAATGTGAGGTAGTGAGATAGGGGAAGGCCGTTCCCACGATAGCTACACGATGAAGAAGCCTACGGATCAATAGTATCAAGCACCCCAACGGATATTCCGACTCGGTATATATTCATGCCACATGGACCTATAGATTGACCTTAACTCATGCTCCTAGTCTGCGTTACAGGGTATTCGAGCGCCACCCAATGGTCTTGATGCAGTCTCAATTTTCGAGTCAGCTCTCCAGCCACGCCTCAGTGGACAAAGACTCATGAGCTCAATCAATAGTCTCGGCCTCGTCCAATTACATATGCGAGATTGATGATTGCGAAGTATCAGCATGGGTCTCGGCTTTGAGTAAGAAGCTCTTGAGCCGTGAGTACCTAGACTCTCAACAGTTGTGGTCATACATCAACACCAGGAAATTGAGAGACTGGGTCATGGAGGATTTATCATCGAGGTTTTTACTTTTTTATTTCTACTCAACAACGCACTCATTGCTGCGACACATCAACCTTTGTCCACCAAAACTCCGACTCCTTCCTCGCCCAAGTATCGGCACACAACCGCGCCGGAACCCCCGCCTCGCCCCCAATAAGCTCCTTATTCTCCTCCGCAAACACCAACGCCTTGGGATCCTCCGCCACGTACCGCTCCCACGTGGGCCTCTCCGGCGCGCTCTCGCCCCGCACGGCATTCGGATCGCCCGCCACGATGAAGCTGGCGAGGTACGCGTTCAGCGTCAAGCACAGCTCCTTTTGCGTCGGCGAGATTTTCGTTTTCGCGGGCTCGCAAGCCTCGTAGTACATGTTCTCGCCGTGGCGCGCGCGGTCGAGGAGGGAGCTCTCGAGGCCCCATTGGTAGAGGTAGACGGGGAGCGCCGGGTCCGCGCGGGAGGCGAGGTCAGCTGTTTGGCGGACGGGCGCGACGTAGGCGTATTGGCCGTAGGCGATTTCGAGGCGGCGGTATTGCGCACCTGTGCCGTCGAGGGATTCCTTGTAGGGTGAGGTTGGGATGATAAGAGGGTCCGGGTAGAGTTTGTCAATGGTCTCGACGTCCTCTTTGGAGAGCAGGGGAAGCAGGTCGGCAAAGAAGGAGGTGAATTCGTCAGATTTGGAAACCTTTTTGGAGATGTAGATGGAGCCTTCGTTGCGGTTGAAGCCCGTCATGATGGGGACTTTGCGCCACTTGTTGAGGCGCCAGGATTCCATTGGCGGGCGGGGGATGATGTCGCCGTCGACGACGGGCTGGAAGGCCCAGCGGAGAGATGGGTTGTACTTGTCAAAGACTGCGATTTGTGCCTTTTGGACGACCTCGGTGGGCGCTGCGCGGAGGTAGGCAAAGGTCTCGGCGGCGGAGAGGTCTGGCGGGCAGCCTGTCTCTGCGAGGAAGTCTGCGAACTGGGCCTCGTGAATGGGGGCGCTGTAGGGGCGGACTGCGCGGGATGTTGGGGCGCCGGACTCGAGGATGACTTTGTGGAAGAGGGGTGGGTTGTATTGGCCTTCGTCGTTGATGAGGATGTGGCCGATCTGGGATTGTTTGTCAGACTTGAGTCTTCTCTTTCATGGTAGAAAGGAAGGTCACTGTGAGGACTTACAGAGTGTGCTCCGGCGGAGATGCCAAAGAGGGTGACGT